TACAGGCTGCCGAACAGTAGCCGCATCGTAAGACAAAGTTTAAAGAATTAATGGGAACTTATCAGAATGAAATGGCAAGAATCATTGGGGGCGGGGGGGTTTCAATCAACACAGCTTGATGGGTAAGGGTAGCCTAGATGAAGAGTTCATACTGTGATTTCAGGAGTTTCGTAGAAGACACATTCTGGAGCCAACTAGACAGTAGGCTATATTAGACTTGGTATTGTGCCACAAGATAGGATTAATTAACTTCATAGTGAAGGCACCCCTTGGTCGCAATCATCATAATTTGATTGTTACACTCAGATTGAGGGAGAGAAGACTGCATCTAAGATTAGTGTTTTAAAATTAAATAAGAGCTAGTATGAGGGCATAAAAGCAGAGCTAGGAAAAGTGAACTCGTAAATTAGGTTAAAAGATAGATTAACAGAGATGTAGTGGTAGACATGTGAGGGGATATTTCAGAATACACAAGATTGACACATTCCAAAGAGGAAGACAATTTCCAAGGGAGGACCCACCATTCATGGGTAACCACAAAATTTAAAGATAGTATCAAACTTAAAATAAATGTAGTTCTGCAAAGATGGGTGGCAATGCAGAAGACTGAATGGAATATTTAAAAAAATGCAAAGAATGACTAAATGATTAATAAGTAGGGAAAAATTAGAGTACAAGAAAAAGCTAGCTGGAAATATAAAACAGATAGTAAGACTTTCTGCAGACTGTTAGAAATGAGAAGTTGGTCTAGAGAAATTGATTCTGGGGAATTAATAATGGAAACAAGGAAGATGGCAGATGACTAAACAGGAATACTGTAGCAGCTTCCATTGTACAGGATATAACATCACAGAAATATCTGTAAAAATTGGGAAATGGAAGGCAGGGAGGAATTCAAGAGAATTACAGTCTACAGGGATTGGTACTGAGCCAAATTGTTAAACCCGTGGGCTGACAAGTTCCAGAGTCTGGTGGATTTCATTCTAGGATCATAGAAGTGCGCAGTGAGATAGTTGATTGGCTTTAATTTTTCAAACTTCTCGAGATTTTTGTAAGGTTCTATTAGAATGGAAAATAGAAAATATAACTCCTTCATTCAAATATAAGAAGTAAGAAACTACAAGCAAGCTAGCTTAACACTTATCATAAGAAAGATGTTAGAAGTCATTATTAAATAAAATATAGCAGGTCACTTTAAAAAATTGAAGATAGTCAAGCAGAATCAACATAGTTGTGAAAAGGAAATCATGCTTACGCAACTTGAGTTCTTTGAGGAAGTAACATGCTGTGGATAAAAGAGAACCATTGGAGGTTCTGTACTAAGATGTTCAGAAAACATTTGATGAGGTATCATATCAAAATAGAATATCACAGTATTCTAGGTTAGCATGCATTGAAGACTGGTTAACTAACAGGAAACACAGAATAGGTATAAATAGGTTTTTTTTTCCCCAATTGACAAGATGTAATGAATGGTGTGTCACATGGATCTGTACTGCAGCTTCAATTTATATGAATTAACTTGGATGCAAGGACCAAAGGTATCTTTACTAAATTTGCAGATGACTGAAAGATAGGTGGGAAAGTAAATTTTGAAGTGGACATAGGCTATGAAAAGTTATAGAAAGGTTAGGTGAGTGGACAGAGAGCTGGATATGGTAAAATGTGAAATTGTCCACTTTGGTAAGAATAAAGAAGCATATTATATGAATGGTGAGAGATTGCAGAGTTCTGAGAGGCAGAGGTCTGGGTGTCCTAGGGTATGAATTGGAAAATGTTGCTATGCAGGTACATAAACTAATTAGGACAGATGTGTTCTTATGGTGAAAGGAACTGAATACTAATGCAGGGAGGTGATTCTTCAATTTTGCAGGGTATTGGCAAAAGTACACCTGGAGTGCTATACACTATTGACCTCCTTTGTTAAGATGTAAATGTGTTGCAAGCAGTTCATAGGTTTACTAGACTAATACTTAGAATGGGCTGTTTGTCTTGAGGATAGGTTGGACAATACTTGAATCTGCTGGCGCTTATAAAAGTGAGAGGTAATTTAGTTAAAGCATACAAGATCTTGAGATATCTTGACAGGGTAGAAGTGAAAAGGATGTGACAATCTAGAACTACAGGATACTGTTTAAACAGAAGAAGTCATCCATTTAAAATAGAGATTAAGTCTTTTTTTCCTCAGAGTGTTGGGCACCTTTGGAACTATTTTCCTCTGAAGCAGGTAGAAGTACAGTCTTTGAACATTTTTAAGGCAGAGCTAGATAGATTATTGGTAAGTGATGAGGTGGAGGTTATCAGGGATAGGCAGGAAAGTGCAGTAATCTGATCAACTATGATCTTATTGAATGATAAACTAGGCACTAGGAGCCAAGTGGCCTAATGCTCCTAATTTACATGAATGCCTTCCATCTCTTGGAAACAGCACAGATAGGTGAGGAAACTGTGTGTCAGGTATATATCTTCCTCAAACCCCAAGTGGAATATGGTGTTCACTTGTGGGAAATGAGCCTCAGAAACGATATAATTAGCTTTATTAAGGGTTTGAAGCAGCTTTTTCAGAATTATATCAAGGATTAAAGAGGGAAGTATTGAGGACAGATTTCACAAAAAACAATTTACAATTGCTTAAATTTGTTGGTAAAAGGGTGATCTAATCAAAGTGTTTAAAACAACAAAGAATTCAATAGAGGGAAAGTATTTCCTGAGATGGAATCCCTATCATGGAAGCACAATCTTTTAATTAGAGGTAGGCCATTTAAGGACATTTTCACACAAAATGTAGATAAAATCTGGAACTCTCTCCTTGATATCATTACAAATACTGGGTCTATTGAAATTTCCAAGATTGATTTTGATAGCCTTGTGATAGCACAAACTTCAGAACTTTAATAAACTGTTCATGGATTGAAAGAATCAATAAAACTTAATAGTTACATACAAAAATCAGCAGCAATAACTGTATCTGGAATAAACTATTAAGGGACAAGGACAAACTTATACAGGAATTGAAGGCAATTAGCCATGTCTGAGAAAAGGAGGAGTGGAGGCTACATGAACAAAACTGTTTTCACATCTGCTTGATAACTAGCTACTCACACCACAACGACAACTGATTACTTTGCAGAAGAATTTAAGAAGTTAACTGCAGGAAAGCTGTGTTTCCTAACAGACAGTCAGTACCAAATGTAACAAGGAACAGAGAAGTTACTTCTGATGAAAAGGCAAGCTGCAGACTTGCAATATTGTGGATGAAAGAATCCAAAGAAGCATCAATACTATTACATCATGGACCTGAAGGCCAAAAACTGCAAAAGAATTCAACACCAGAAATTCAAAGAAAAACACTGCACAAGGTTCAAACCCTGGACACTTCCTCAGACAGGCGCTGTTGTTTAGAATTGTAGCTAATTTCCACCATTAATCGGGTATAGCAAAGTTGAATTGTGAGGTTAACTTGCTTCCTTGAGGGGTCTTATTTTGGTTGCTACATGCAATAAAGTTTACATCACTGTTTCAGTACTTGATTGGCTGTGAGATTTCTTAATAAGCAACTGATTTAAAGATAACTTGTGGTGATTTGCCCACAACAGCCTTGCAACATAACTATTGAGGAATATAGAATAAATGGTTAATGTATAAGTCAAACATCACAGACTGAATGATGAACAGGCTTGAATGACTTATTCCTGTTCCAATAAAATGTTTCCACAAAAGTCAAACTCTGCATTACTTATACTTTTTTCTCTAAATAATTATTTAATTGAACCTTTAGGTACTTCTATAGCAGATAAATGAACACATTTTCATACTGTGATACTCTACATTTACTGTTTACCAAACAACTTCCATTTCAATAGCACCTTCACTGAAGTAAAGCATCACAAAGCACTTCAAGGAATATTTGGCCTCCAGCCACACATGATGAATAGAGTTTAATAAATGCTTTGTCAAAGAAATTTAAGATAATGTACCATGGATTACCATAGATAGACATGGAAGTATTCTAGATATAGGGGCCTAGGCTGTTGAAGGATTTTTGTGCATCACTGATGCTAAACAAAATTAGGGATGTTTAAGAGGCCAGAGTTGGAGAAGTGCAAATGTCTTGGAAATTATAGAACTGGCTAGAGAGATAAGGAAGGGCAAAGCCACGGAAGGATTTGATAATAGGATTTTAAAAAATAATTCAGCTGTACTAGGAGCCAAAGTGAGCAAAGGGTGATGGTGAATCAGATTTGTTGCAAATTAGAATATGAGCAGCAAAGAAAATTGTAGAGGTAGATGTTAACTAACATTGGCTGTATATTACAACTGTAATGTTGGTATACTATGATCCAAATCCTTAATCATAGTTAGACCTGAGGCCTGAGAGAAGTGGAAAATGAAAAGAGTACTGAGGAACTGAATCTTACTGTGGGCTTGGTTTCACGTAGTTTGCATTTATACTGCAAGTGCTATAGTGACAATGTCTGCAGTTACTCTCATTACCTGACATGAAAAGATTCCAGTTTTCAAAATCATTTTAGAATTCAATATTATCAACTGTCACAGTACAGACATTAGCTATTTTCAAACTACACAGTATTAGCTTCAGTGATCATATAAAATAGACTACAATTGATTCTGTGTATTAGTCATAGAGCAAGAAACAAACCAGAAAGTTCTACTAATAAGATTGATAAATATTCACAATAGGTCAATCAGTGTCTGTAATGAGTAAAGAGGTTCTGAGGTTCTGAAACCTGTCTTTTCTCTAAGCAGATGCTGACTGACTTGCTTCCTATCTCCAGCATATTCCCATTTTTTATTTCAAATTTCCAAAATTTGCATTTTGATTATTTTACCAAACAATAATTTGACTGAATAAAAAAAGTGCTACAGCCAAGAATAAATGGTGGAGTGTAATCACAAGAATGGTGCAGCTACTGCGACGATATTACAAACTCTGGCTCCTATGATGTGTTCCCTCCTGTTTGACCAGATTGCCATATGTGACTAGTACTATTTTGACACACAAAATTACAATGAAATTCAAGTCATAGTTCCCTGAGAAAGCCTTATTCGTTTATTTATTACTGATACTGATCAGTAAAAAAAATCCTCCAATAAGCATAGCAGTCACTGTCATCTCTACTAGTTTCTGGAATTGCCATTTTCTCTCCAGACTTTCCTTGTTTTTGCGAAGCTGCATCCTTCTCCAGCGTTGGGTCTGCTCCCTGGCCAATTGCTCCCCATAATGAGCTTTGTAGAACTCATCAAAATTGAAAATCGATTTCTCGGAGTTCAAGTTATCTGACGAGCTCCACGCCTGCGATTGTTTTGTCGTTGTGGATTGGGCTTTCTCCAAGGGTTTCTTCCCACCATGTAAATCTGCTGCTGTCAAAATTCCCCGGTCATACTTCTTCCTCAGGGTCACGCTTCCCAGCACGGAATATGCCTCATTTATTTGAGTGAACCTTAACGCTGCTTCCTCGCTTCCTGCATTCCTGTCTGGGTGGTAACGAAATGACTGCTTGTAGTATGCTGATTTGATCTGATTCTGGGTGGCATTGGGAGAGATTTTCAAAATATCATAGTATAGCGTGTTGCTTCTTCGAGGAAGTGGGGCAGAATTATTTCTTCCAGAGTACCTATTGCCATCTTTAAAGTGGCCATAGGACCTGCACTGGGGATGTACTTTGGTGACAGAATGCCAGCATCCGTTACTATCCAGGGGTGATGCCCAGCCATTTGTGACGAATGACCGTTTAAAAGTCCGAAAGCACCAAAGGCCCCGGAGGTATTTGTCATTCCCCGACTGAGAAAGCAAGGCCCGGCAGGAGAAACAGCTGCCATGGCTAGTAAACCCGTTAACATACATCATGTACAGATCAGTATCCCTGAGCTCCCTGTTCTGGGAGGAAAGGTCCCTTTCCACTGGAAATGTCACACTCCCAGCCGCTGATGGGGATCGTTCGGCGGGAGGGTCACTGCCAGCTATGCGCTGTGTGCGGTATAACTTTAGGATAGTGAGAGCTTTTGAGAGCCGGGTCCCCTGCACTGCTGCTCCCCGCCTGGGAGGGTTCCGGCTGGGAGTGGGCTCCAGAATCCCAGCCGCGGGTCGGCTCTGGGCGCTCGGCCTCTGCACCACAGAGGGAAATGGCGGCGGCCGCCATTCACCGGCTCCCTGCCCAAAGCCTGCCGCTGCTGATCCAGATCCATTGCCCGGATTCCAGCCGCTACTAATCAGCCTCCTGACACAGTTCCGGGGCTGAGGGACCCTTACACAACGATCGGCAAAATACAACGCCATCTTAACTGCCTGCCTTGAAGGCGGGGCCCAGGCCTTGACAGACAGGCACAACAACTAATCACAAGGCTCTATCCTCTGATGGACATTACACCCAGCCACTCAAAACGTCCCCGCTTCAGCCAATGACAGTGGCCGTTCCCCATAGGTCCCGCCCACAGGCTCTTGATTGACAAGCTCAACCTGAAGTTCCAAGGAATCACAGGTTGTCACTTCAATTATCGTGGAAAGAGACCGACATCCAAGTCTGATTCCGCTATAGGTTTTAAACGATATTAAAGGAAGCCTTATTCGTTATTTTCCATTAGTTTGGGAAGGAAATACACGTGCATGCATCGTTTTCCCAAAGGTGGATTGATTTGAACAATAAACATCAAATTTACAAGCTACAGAAAGTGTTGGGGGCCACTCAGCAGATCTGCAGAGATAGTTATCAACATTGCAAGGTGAATTGACTTGGGTTAGAAATATTTACAAACTTGGTTTTCCGGAAGATAATTTTTTTTAACACAAAAATGCAGTTTTGATAAAAAGTCATAGATCTGTAACATCAGTGGTAGAGGAACTTTTGGAAAAAGTCTAAGGGACTAAATTATTCTCCACTTGGAGAGGCAAGGATTAATAATGGATAACCAGCATGCCTTTGTCGGGGGGAGATCATGACTGACAGGTTTGATTGAGTTTTTCGAGGAGCTGATTTCAAGTATAGATGACAGTAGTAAGGCTTTTGTCAAGTAAAATAAAGAATTGCAGATGCTGGAAATTTGAAATATAAACAGAAATTGCTGGAGAACTGAAACAAAAACAGAAATTGCTGGATACGTTTCTGTAGCAATTTCTGTTTTTGGCTTTTGACGAGGTTAGGTGGATTGACCATGCTCAATTGTCCATATTATCCAGGCATGTGCAGGCTTTGTGCATTAGCCATAGTAAATGTGGAGTTAAGGGGACAGGGTGGGGCCTGGGTCTGGTGGGATGCTCTTTGGAGGGTCAGAGAGACTTGATGGGCCAAATGGCCTCTTTCCGCTATGTAATGACGCTATTATTTTAGGTCTTATATGGCAAGCTGTTTAAGAAGCTAAAAACCCATTGAATCTAGGGCAACTTTGGTAACCTCGATCCAAAATTGGCTTCATGGCATGACGCAAAAGTCAAAGGCTGTTTCTGTGACTGGAAGCATGTGTCCAGTGGTGTATTAAAGGGTTCGTTGTTGAATTCCATGCTGCAATGTACATTAATGATCTAGATATGAATATAGGTGGCATGATCTGATAGACTTGAATACAAGAGTAAGGAGGCTATGATGGAGGTTCATACAATGTTATTTGTGCCAAAGCTGAAGTTCTATGTGCAGATCTGGTCAGCAAACTATAGTAAGGATGAGACTGCATCATAGAATCCCTACTGTGTAGAAGCATGCCATTTGGCCCATCAAGTATCCATCCACCCTCAGCGCAGGAGATTCACCCGGTTGTTGAGTGGATTCAGCAATTCAGGTATGAAGCAAGACTAGGCAGGTTTGAGGTGTTTTCCTTACAGCAGAGAAGGCTGAGGAGGGACCTGATTGAAGTGTACAAAGTAATGAGGGGCATTTAGAGGGTAGATATGAAGAATCTTTTCCCCTTAGTTGATGAGTCAGTAACCAGGTGGTACACTTTAAGGTATGGAGCAGGAGGTTTAAAGGTGATAAGAGAAAAAGAAATTCACCCAAAGGCTGATGAGTATCTGGAACTCACTACCTGAAAGGATGGTACACGCAAGAACCATGGAGACATTTAAGAATTATTTGGTTCAGCACTTGAATTGCCACAGCAGAACAGCAGGCCAAGTACTGGAAAATGGTATCAGAATAGATAGATGTTTGATGACCACACAGCAATGATAAGCCAAAAGACCTTTTTCCAAATTGTAAAAACTCAATAAGCAAACATGAACTCTGTTCCTCTCCACCAATGCTATCTGACTTGCTGAGTTATTTCCATCACTTGAGGTTGCAGACTTGCTTGCTGAGCCGGTGTGTTTGACTGCAGACGTTTTGTCACCATGCTAGGTAACATCATTAGTGCGCCTCTGGTGAAACGTTGGTGTTCCATCCCACTTGTTATTTATATGCCTTGGTTTGCTGGGGTGGTTGGTATCACTTCCGGTTTTGTTCTTCAGTGGTTTGTATATCGGGTCCAGTTCAATGTGCTTGTTGACGGAGTTCTGATTGGAATGCCAGACCTCTAGGAATTCCCTGGCATGTCTCTGTTTGGAGAACTACAATGGAAACTGAAATACTTTGTTGACAACACTACCCACTCCATCCACTACTCCTAAGAATTCCTCAACATCCTCAAGGACACCAGAATAGAAGAGGATGAGATAATGGTATCCTTCAAAGTAACAGCACAATTTACATCCATAAACTTCGGCCTAGCCAAAGAGACAATTGCCACACTGCTGGACAAATCAGGAAGGCAGACACCCCATGACACCGACAGCACACTGAAACTACTGGAACTGTGCCTCAAAACACACCACCTTCAACAGCATATATTGAAAAAAATCAATGGAACATCAATGGGATCTCAAATATCAGGAATGACAGCAGAAGCGGTAATGCAAAAATTAGAATGGACAGTGCTCCCCACTATCCTAAACTCTGGGTCCGCTATGTAGATGACACCTTCATGAATATCAAATGCACAAGACTAGAAGAAACCCACCAACACATAAACAACATCTCACCAGAACAAAATTCACAAAAGAAGAAGAGAACAATAACCAACTACCCTTCCTGGATGTAATGGTAGAACGTAAGAATAACGGGGAACTCCAGACTAGCGTACACAGAAAAACAAGACATACGGACCAGATACTTAATTACACCAGCAACCACCCCAACACCCATAAACGGAGCTGCATCAGGACATTGTTCAAACGAGCTACAACACACTACAGCAACCCTGAACTGCGCAAAACATAACAGGAGCACTTCAACAGACTTTTTAAAAGGAATGGATGCCCAAAAAGCACAATCTGCCTCTGCGACAGACCACAGCAAGAAGACACAACACAGCCAGATACACTAGTCACCCTACCATACATCAGGGACATATCAGAGATGACCACGAGACTACTCAGAACCCCAGGTATCAAGGTAGCCCACAAACTAACAACCACCCTGCGCCAGCTACTGACGAATGTAAAAGACCCCACCCCACAACCAATAAAACTAATGTAATATACATAATACCATGCAAGGACTGTGAGAAACATTACATAGGCCAAACTGAAAGAAAACTGGAAATAAGGATACATGAACACCAACTGGCCACCAAAACACACAACCAATTCTCACTGGTCTCAATACACACGGACAAAGAAGGACACAAATTTGACTGAGACAACACATCCATAACAGCACAAGTCGAAGACAGACATGCCAGGGAATGCCTGGAGGCCTGGCATTCCAAACAGAACTCCGTCAACAAACACATTGAACTGGACCCGATATACAAACCAGTGAAGAACAAAACTGGAAGTGATACCAAACACCCCAGCAAACCGAGGCATATAAATAACAAGTGGGACTTAATACCAACGCTTCACCAGAGGTGTACTGATGATGTTACCTAGCAGTGTGACAAAACGTCTGCAATCAAACACACTGGTTCAGCGAGCAAGTCTACAATCTCATCCACAACCTGAGCTACAAATCTTCTCAAAACTTGTAAATTTCCATCACTTTCATCAGCAGTATTTTGCTTGTATCTGTACTGAACTTTTCTGAAAACTGAAAGAACTGCGGATGCTGTAATTCAGGAACAAAAACTGATGTTGCGCGCAAAGCTCAGTAGGTCTGGCAGTATCTGTGAAGAAAATTCAGAGTTAGCGTTTTGGGTCCATTGTCTGCTGCCAAACCTGCTGAGCTTTTCCAGCAACTTCTGTTTTTGTTCTCAATTTTTCTGATTTGGTTTCCATTTCATTTTTTTCTCTCTCTGTGAAAGTTCCTTAAGCCATGTTATGTTAAAAATACCCCATTAATAAAATAAAAGCATTCTTCATCCATTGCCAAAAACAGATGGGACATTAGAAAGGGCTAGAGGACAATCGGGCCATCACCTTGCCGGAAGGTCGTGATGACGTCGACCATGCACGTGCCAGGTCTACGTCAGGCCGACGCACGGCGCAGGCGCAGAGTCCGGCTTGCGGAGCGGGGCCGTGCTTGTCAGGAAAGGAGATAAAGTTTTATTATTCAACAAAATCGCGGATGAAAAGATGTCGGGCCGGTCGGTGAGAGCAGAGACACGCAGCCGAGCCAAAGATGACATCAAAAAGGTTATGGCAGCTATCGAGAAGGTCCGAAAATGGTGAGCCGCTCTCCGGTAAATACTTTTATTGAAGGGGGAAAGACGACGCACGGGCGGGAGCAACGGCATCCGGAGACGGAAGTGATGTGAGGGACATTTGATTGACGGTATGTTCAGCCATTCAAGGACGACGGCGACCCCCGGTTCCTGTGGTAACCGCGTCTCGGGACTGACGAGGAGCTAAGGAGGCGAGACTTCCGGTTGTATTGCAGGACCTGGGTGGGCAGGGCCAGTTTGATTCATTTGCTGAAAGTCTCAGAATGAAGTCAAACCAATAGTAGAGTAGGCCACGTTCTGGAGCATTATTCTTTTCAAGAAGAAGAGCAGGCTGGCTTCTGTTCGTCCGCCAGACTTTTTTTTTAAACATAGCCCTAAGTGCCTAGTCGTAAATGGCCTGTAGTCTTGTTTAAAACTGAGGCCATCAGATAGTCAACGGAAGGTCTGTGTATCATTTCTCTGAGATGTTGGTAGAGCACTGTTCAAGGCATGCAGTTAAATTCCAGAAGTTCTTGTTACTGTTACACTATGGCTTGGAGAATCATCACTGATACAGTGGCTGCAGTCTCTAAATCACCTTCAAGAACAAGTGCTGTAGAAGCCTGTAAACATCACCACCTGCAAGTTCCCTTCCATGTCACACACCATTTTGACTTGGAACTTTATATTTGATCTTTTGCTGTGTCTGGGTTAATATGCCAGAACTCCCTAACAGCTCTGAGGGGGTCCTTACATCCTAACGACCCCAGCAGTTTAAAAAAGGTAACTCACCACCACTTTCTCTAGGGCAATAAATGCTAGTCAGTGATGTCCACATCTCAAACAAAAAAGGTTTTAATCTATGGTCTTGTAAATTTTTCTGTTCCTTCTCCAAACAAATTAAATAAGGACACTTTTGTCTCACTTTTGCAATTTATTTTCACTTATTCTGTGTTAGGAATCCAGGCTGCTGTGTTGCAACATACAAGTTTCTTCCACTTTCTCTCTCTGCCTGTAGGTATCTATCTCCTACAACGGCTCCCACTCTTGCTGTTGCAATCGAGCCTTTTACCTTAAAGTGCGCCAAATTTTTTATTCATTCATGGGAAGCAGCAAGACTAAGCAACATTTATTGCCCATCCCTAATTGCCCATAGGGCAGTTAAGAGTCAACCGCATTGCTGTGGGTCTGGAGTCACATGGAGGCCAGACCAGGTAAGAGGGCAGTTTCCTTCCCTAAAGGATGTTAGTGAACCAGATAGATTTTTCCTGACAATCAACAATGGATTCATGGTCAGCATTAGATTCTTAATTCCAGATATTTATTGAATTCAAATTTCACTATCTGCCGTAGACATAACTTGTCTCTGTTCTGTAAAGATTGTAATTTGGAGAATGTAATTTCAAGTAAAAATGCAGCACTTGGTTAAGAAACTAATAAGGGATGTCTTTTTCTGTAGTAAATTGACATACATAATAATCAATTGTATCTAGTTGATATAAAAGAAAAATACTGCAGGTGCTGGAAATCTGAAATAAAAAACAGAGGGTGCTGAAGAAACTCAGCAGGTCTGGCAACATCTTTGGAGCAAGAAAAGTTTTGAGTTCAGTATAGCTTCTTCAGAATGGAAAGGAGCTGGAGAATCATAGTTTTTAATGCTATTGATAGAGAGGGGAGGAGGAGCCATTGGAACAGATGGTGAATGTGCTCCAAAGCAAAAGATCACGGCAATGAAAAGGAGTACTAGATATGCAAAATAGGTGTAAATGATAGCTGTGAAAGTGAAAAAATGTGTCCACTTTGGTGAGATATGTATTTATTAGTTCCAGGAATTGGTTGGCACTGCCGCCTCACAGTGCCAGAAACGTGGGTTTGATTCTAACCTTGGGCAACTGTCTGTGTGGAGTTAGCACATTCTTCCCTTGTCTGCACCAGTTTCCATTGGGTGCTCTAGCTTCCTTCCCCAGTCCAAAGATGTGCAATGGCCATGCTGGAACTGCCCAGTAGTTACTAGGGATGTGCAGCCTAGATGGATTAAGTTTATTTCTGGAATAGTTAAACTCCATGTTGAGCCCTGAAGCTGTTAGCTCCCTAGGCAGAGGATGAGGTTTGTTTCTCCAGCTTGTGTTGAGCCTCACTGAAGCACTGCAGCAGGCCTGAGACAGAAATGTTGGCAAGGAACATGATGCTGTATTGAAGTGGAAGGCCACTGGAAGCTCAGGGTCACTTTTTAATAGTCGGAGCAGAAGTGTTCGGCAAAGTTGTTGCCCAGTCTACATTTTGTCTCCCCAATGTAGAATAGACCAGATTGTGAACAGTGAATGCAGAAACCTAATTGAATGAAGTGAAGATAAATCGATTTCACCTGGAACGTGTGTCTGGTCTTGAGGAGGGAAGAGATAAACGGGCAAATATTGTCCCTTCTGTCACTGTATGGGAAGGAGCAGTGGGGGATGTGGGGAGATGTTGGACATGGACCAGGGTGTCACAGAGGGAATGGTCCCTCCTGAATGATGACAAGGGAAGGGAGGGAATATTTGTCTGGTGGAGGCATTCTGCCGGAGGTGGGAATGGTGGCTTTTGATCTTTGTATGTACAGGCTGATGAGGTGTAAAGTGAAGAGAAAGGGGAGCGCTATCTTATTTGTGGGAGGGGACGGAAGGGGTGAGGGCAGAAGTGTGGCAAATGGATCGGTCACGGCAGTGGTCCTTGGCACAGGAAAATGTTAGACATTTCTGAGGCACCCGTGCAGATGGTGGCATCATCAGAACAGATGCGACAGAGAAGAAGAAACTTGGAGAATGGAATGGAGTCCTTACAGGAAGCAGGGTAAAATCAAGGTAACTGTGGGAGTCAGTGCGTGTATAATAGATATTGGCGGCCATCTTATCCCAAGAAATGGAAACAGACGTCAAGGAAGGGAAGGGAAGAGAGGAATCAGAGAAGAACCAGGTGAAGGTAAGTGCAGGGTGAAAATTGGGAGCAAAATTAATCATTTTTTTTCCTCCAATTTCAAACGAAAGAGAGAGACTGCATCAATTATGTCATTGATGTACCAAAGAAAGAGTTGTGGGTTGGGGACCTGAGTAGGACTGGAACAAGAATGTTCCACATACCCCACAAAATGATGAGCATAACTGGCACCCGTATGGATATCCATACCTTTGACCTGAAAAAAAGTGAGCGGAGTTAAAGGAGATGTTGTAAAAAGTGAGGATGAGGTTGGTCAGGTGGAGGGTTGTGCTGGTGGGTGGGGACAGTTCAGACCTTCTCTCAAGGAAGAAGCACAGAGCCCTCAAACGAAATTGCTGAGGAATAGTGTAGAGAGATTGCATGTCCATGGTGAAGAGGAGACGGCTGGTGCCCACCAGCAGTTCTTTAAAACTGACATAAAGCATCCAATGAGTTGTGAATGTAAGTGGGAAGGGATTGGACAAAGGGAGAAAAAATAATTGAGTCAATGTTGGATAAAATAAGTTCCATGGAGCAGGAACAGGTGGAAACAATGGGTTTGCTAGGGCAGTCCTATTTGTGGATTTTGAGAAGTAGACAGAAGAAGCTGTGTAGAGTGCTGGAGCTATGAGGTGTGATGTTGTTGGGAAGAAATCCCCAGATGAGGTGAGATTAGTGACAGGATTGGAATTAATAGTTTGCTCAGTGGTGGGGTCATGGTCTGGGGGCGATAGAGGAGGCATCCTAGAGCTGGTGCTCAGCCTCCACAAGGTAGAACTCAGTATGCCAGGAAAGAACAACAACACCCTCGTCCACAGGTTTGCTTTTAAAAAGCCAGGGTTGGATCTGAGAACAAAGAGAACCGTGAGGTCAGAGGGAGATAGTTTCTCCATTTCCCCTCATCTATTTTAACCTAAGGCAACCAATGTCACAACAAACAGGCAGATAAAAGGCCAGACCGAGAGGTCCAGTGGGAGGGAGAGTTTTAGAGGCGAGTGAAGAAGTCTCTGGGTTGGGGAGAGGACTTCTGCTTAAGGAAATGGTCCTGCAGGCGATGGTAATGGAAGAAGCATTTAATATCAGGTCATGTCTGAAATTCATTGAGGTGTTGGGCATAAGGGATACAATTAAATTCTTTGCTGGTACAGCATCAAAGAGTGGAAGGTCAGAAGGTTTGGCAAATATCCGACGAGCTGGGGTTAGAGGGTTTAGGGCAGCGTGGTGGCTCAGTGGTTAGTTCTGCTGTCTCACAACACAAGGGACCTGGGTTTGATTCGGGCCTCAAGCGACTGCGTGGAGTTTGCATGTTCCCCCTGTGTCTGCGTGGGCTTCTTCCAGGTGCTCCGATTTCCTCCCATAATCTAAAGATATGCAGGTTAAAGTAGATTGGTCATGGTAAATTGCCCATAGTGTCCAGGGATGTGCAGGTTAGGTGATTTGGCTATGGATAATGCAGAATTATATGTTAGGGGGTGGGTCTGAGTGGGATGCTCTTCGAGGGGCAGTATGGACACGACGGGCCAAATAGCCTGCTTCCACACTAGGGATTCTATATTATGAGGAAGGGATGGAGGTGGAGGGAATGGGAGGGGAGGAAGATGTCAAAAGAGCATGTGTAGCACTGAGTTGTTGCAGTTTGCATTCCTTAACACCTGAAAAGAGGAGAAAAGGTTTCTCGTTAAAATGTTGAATGAGCTGAAGAATGTAGTGAGACTCAAGGACAGAGATAGCATGAATTGGTGCTGATGGAAGAGCGGTCAAGGTTGTGCATGTGGCGGCACGTGGCACTGAAGGTGGATATCGGGATGTACTGAGAACAGCTGTCTGAGGAGCATTGTACATCAAAGAGATACCTCGGATCCTGCACAGATTTGAAACGAGGATTTGAAATCCACATCGGGTAAGTCTGATTCTGAGGCAGTCACTAAGGCATGAGTTGTGGCTATGTAAGCGAGTTTTGGCAAATACCTTCATCAATCAGGAGAATCAAACACAGATTTCTACCTTCCACAGTTCTTTGTTTTTATTTGACTTGTCCAAATTGCCATATTCCCAGTAAAACAATTATTCAC